GGAATGAGATCTCAAACAAGCTTACTATTCTTATCTCGAAACTTTCTCTTCTATGCCCACACCACCTCCTTCATACGCCTTGGCAACACCTAACTCATATGTTGCGAAGCCAAAATATCATTCCACATAGATGTTGATGGGCTTTTATTTTGGTTCCAATCACCACTCACCAATCACCCAATACTTGCAGAGATGATGGTGCCGGCGGTATATGGCGGTGAGTTGTGGTGGGGCTGGAACATGATAGTGAGTTGTGGGCAGGGGCAGGGGCAGGTTTCCATTTCTTTATAGCCTCTTGGGTCTTCATGTCTTGAAGTCTGTCACATTTGCAGAAGAAAAAGCTTGACCACCATGTATTCCTTGATTTTGTAAGATGGGTTTGCTATAAAGGAATGAGTGAATGTGGTGCCTGTGTTTGTAGATTAGGGTGGGGTTTGGGGAAGAAGAAATGAATTTTTCAATTTTTATCCTTTTTTATTTCCTTTTTTCTTTTTTATATAAATTATCTATTTTTGGCTTATTTAAGTTTAAGGGTAACTGTGTCATTTCCAGAAATACTAACAAATGTTTTGACAAACCGTATATTTGGCTGAATGGCGCCTCTTTTTCAAAGGCTAGGGACACCGTAGTCCAGAAAAAAAATGGTTAGGGGTGGAAGGACGTTTTGCATAATTTTGCCCAATAAAGAATGATTTACTCTTATGGTATGTGTGTATCAGGAGGAGGAAAGTACAATAATGAACATTAAATTGTGTTTTATAAATTTAGTCATCACATTGGAGATGGTATTCCGATGATGAGGTGATCTGATGCATTTTCAAAGATATTCAATTAAACTTATTTCCTTTTCTCTTCAACTGAAGGTACCCTTCACTGCACTCTTTCTTATTAAACGAACTGAATGTGGCTACTGAGTTGCTTTTGGACGACTCATCTGAACATTCAAGATCCAACCTGAAGAATGTTGTGCATCCAAGCTTGTGTCCGATGTTGATACTTTTGTCTCGGCTTAAACCTTCACCAATCACTAGTGAAACTGGAGACAGTTTGGATCCTTTCCTTTTCATGCCATTCATAAGGAGATGCTCAGTTCAAAACAATTTTCGAATTCGTCTACTTGCATCAAGAGCTATAACAGGCTTGGTGTCCAATGAGAAACTGCAAGTTGTCTTGCTCAATATTGCCTCTGAGTTACCTTGTGTAGAAAATCAAATCATGGCTCCTGATTCATCCACATCACTGGACTTGGCCAACAGGACCTCTGGTGCTTCTTTCAATTTAATTCATGGAATGCTATTACAGTTGAGCTCTCTTTTGGATACCAATTGTAGAAACCTAGCCGATTCATTTAAAAAGGATATGATTCTCAACAGTTTGATTCAAATTCTTGCCAAATGTTCATGGATTGGAAGACCACAATTGTGTCGTTGCCCCACCCTGAATGGCTGTTTTCTAAAGTTGCTTGACAATATGCTGAGTCTTGCAAGAACATGCCAAACAGGTGAAAGTATTGGTGCCATTTGGAACCTCCTCTGGGAGTTATCTTCAGAATGTTTAGATTTAGATCCGTCTGATTATCCGCCATATTTTGATCCTACTATTTCAGAACTTCGTGAACAAGCAGCGATTTCATATTTCAATTGTGTTTTCCAAACATCTGAAGATATAGTTGAAGATGCTCTACTGATGCCAAGGAATTTTTCTTCAGTTGCTTACGATTCGTTAAGGAGATTTGAAATGGAGGTTGCCTCTACCAGATTTCAGGAGAGGTTGACCCACTCCATGTCAGATTTATCATATGAAGTGCGAATTGCAACAATGAAGTGGCTTCTTTTGTTCCTTAGGGCGACAGAATCAGGTATTAACAGCGGGGATCAATTTTATTCTGATGCTAGGAAAATTTGCTTGTCCAATATAAATCTCCAGGAAAGGCTGATGAAGCTTTTGGTGACAGAGAAACACCATAAATGCATGCATTACATTCTAAAGATTCTTTACACTTGGAATCTACTGGAATGGCAAGATGACTTCCAAGAACCTGCAGACCCAAGATATATTTGTAACATGGACTGCAATTCAGTGTTCCAGTTATGGGAGACCTTAGTTTCTCTTCTCAGGACCACAAGGCACGCAAAGACACGTCAAACCCTTGTCTGCTGCATGGGAATTTGTATAAAGCGAATCTCCAGCATATTTTTGGATCTTTTTAGTTCTGAAATAGAGAAGATGCCCGAGCTCAGCCAATCTGATCTTTGTAAAAAAATGTCTGATTTCTACAACAGCACAAGTTATTTTGTCACTCTGATAGAACAGTATGGTGACGCATCAGAGCCTGTAAATATGCGGAAGGCAGCTGCAGAATCAATGGTAGCATCTGGTTTACTGGCTCAAGCTGAGGTTTTAGGTTCTTTAGTTTCTGGGGAACAATTTTCTGATGGCAACTGGTTTTCTCATATCAAACCTGAGGAGGATATTAAAACGTATGCTGGTAGAATACTGGATCTATGGTTGATGTGCGTAAAACTTCTGGAGGATGAAGATGAAGGGATTAGGAAGAGGCTTGCTTTGGAAGTCCAGAAATGCCTTACGTCCAGAAAACTAAGGGAACACTTTTCAGCTGGTATTGCTCCAAGACAAGTAGAGAAAGTGATTGCATTGTGTTTTGAGCATTTATCATCAATCTTTAGTCACTGGCTTGATTACTTGGATTATCTTTGCTGCTGGGTGCTGAATGCTGCAAACAATGCAAACTACGTCACTTCAAAAGGAGATCTCATCAGACGTGTTTTTGACAAAGAGATCGATAACCATCATGAAGAAAAGTTGTTCATATGTCAGATTTGTTGTTCCCAGTTGGAGAAAATTCTGACTTCGGAATTTTGCACTGTTGACTTCTCTAATGAGAGTGGGGCTCAGGATTTTTTGCATAAATGGAGAAGCAAATTTCGCGAACAGTTGATATCGTTTGCTAGTGACCATATCAAAAAGCTGGGAGGTGTCGAGTGGATTGGTGGAGTGGGAAATCACAAAGATGCGTTTTTACCGATCTATGCAAATTTGCTCATGCTTCATGCCCTATCAAACTGTATATTCCACTTGGAACCTGAGACTAGCAAGCCCATGCTCTCTGAGGTTCTTGAACTTGGAGAAGCTATTCATCCCTTTCTTAGAAATCCCTTAATTTATAATCTGTATTTGTTAGTAGTGGAGTCACATGAGAAATTTTTTGGGGCAACTAACACCCATTTGACCCGAAAGTGGAGAGAAGGTGGTTCTATTTGGGATGAATTTGATCCTTATTTTCTACTCGAGTGAAAGGCATAAAAGATGAATACTGCCTTTATTAAGATCTACTTAGTTTATGGTCACCAGTTCGAGTCCCCTTGGGGCCACTGCGGTAAGTATCTGGTCCTAAATTTCAGGACCCGTGTGATTAGTCGAGATGTGCGCAAGCTGGTCTGTACATCCACGATTATCAAAAAACAGAAAAGATCTACTTAGTTTATAGAATGCTAGTTGTGACAATCCCCTTGGCTGTATACACAATTTTGATTCAATACATTTTTAAATTTAGTGGAGATGTGGTTCGTCTTCTATCCTTGTTAGGTTTTGTTACTATATGCAATGATAATACAGTGGAACAAAGAATCTTGAATTACAGCAATTTTTTAGATATGATGCTTCAACTTGTATAGTTTGTCAAATGTGGTATGGCAAGTTGCTCTAAATGGATAGTTCAAGAACATGTGAACATTTCATATACATAAAAGTTGGATCATATATCCTTGCAGGCTGCAGCCAAGTTATATGTCAGATATTTTTAAAAGGTCCCCGTGAAACAGGTCTATGCCGACTGACAATTATGTTTAATTTGCAATAAACAAAACTTTGACGGGAATAGGAAATGAAATGTAAAATAGAGTTTCAGTCTTCATCCTCATCTTCCTCGTCGCCCTCTTCTCCCTAATAGAAGCCATCGACAGAGTCAGTGTATAGTGAGAAACATATGATACTAAATACTGCCAAAATATTGACTGATCACAGCTAACATCTCGAAAGTAGCACAGAGTCATTGATCAAATAGTAAAAACTAAGAATATTCAGTAGAGATGTACATTAAAGAAGTTAAAAAACTGAAATTTAGCATCATACTTCCACTTCACGAGGTAACATTATTAAAATGAAATGGTACAAACAGGTTCACATGAAGTACAGAGGATATCAAATAATCTTTAAAGAAGAGAAAAAGATTTATTTGTTACCTCTTCTTCATCTTCATCTTCTTCGGAATCTTCATCATCAGCTACCTGTTATACAATCATAATTATCAGCCAGTTCAAATAAGTGGAAGGTGATAAATATACTGTAATAGTAGGGAAAGGAAGAAAATGTTACATTGTAAAGATATTTGATAGGATCAGGCCACAGATCCTCCTTAATTATCTCTGCGACCTGCAGTTTCGAAGCAAAGAAGACAATAAAGAATTTTGTACTGAACACATGTAATATTTTCCTCATCAAATGCATATGACAATGCTTCAAACAAATGTGAGCTTCCAGCAATGGATTTACCTCATCACGCAGCCCCTCGCCTGCATCTTCCAGTTGAGTTTCACTAAACCAACTAAAGAAGCTGCATTCATAAGAATAGATAGCATGTGTCAATGAGAATACTCACGCATAAACACGCACATATCTGAATAATTGTGTAAAAGGAAAACTAGCAAGAAGTACCTCTCGGTAGATGGTGGTCGTTTGTTCCCTTTCTTTTCATCATTATTGATGTTAGCAGAGCCCTTTCCATGTAAAACGCATAAATACTTAACATTAGAGAAGGAAGATGGGAGGGGAAGGAAAGGGGCACTTGCATATAGGAGAAATATGGGTATGATCAAATTACCATGCCTTCCTTCCAATCAATGTTTGTGCCGGTTATCTTTGTAGTTCCTTCGTTAATGAACTTGAATGTCTTAATCAGCTTTGTATTATCAAAGAAAGGGTTTGGCTTAAACTTCTGAAAGTCAAAGCATAACAGTCAGCTATAGACAACAGAAAACTGATGGAAACACGGATGAAGTAAAAGATAAGATGCCATTTTTTTTTCTTTAGAATTTTAAGAGAAGACTCACGAATGCAATGGAGTAACCCAATTTCAAGTCATCATCCACGTCAAGAGCATCTAAATACTTGAATATCTAGATCGAGCAAAAATATCAATTATGAGGTTACTTTAAATTCAGTTATACCATGTCAGATTGGCCTACGATGTGGGATTACATGAAATCTGAGCAATTCAAATAAAAAGGAAAAATACTATTAAAATATATGAAAGTAACTAGAGCTTCCACTATAGTAACTTTATAGATCTAACTTAATTCAATTGCCAAGTGCCAACCAATCTTATAAGACGCACATACCGTCTGGTCTTCCTCACTCAAAAGATCACAGAGTGAAGGATGACTCAAGAACTGTAAGAAAAGAGGATAAAGATATGAATATTATGGATTAAGCTCTGAGAAGTAACAAACATTTGTCTATATCAATTTCACAATAGAAAATAGTTCTTCCACTCACGGCAGTCAACCAAAAGTCAGGAATAGAACTGATGATCTCATTTCTTCTCACATAAACAGGCCTCCTTATCTCGTTGTACTTTCGTTCAACTTCCAATACTTTATCACTGGCTTCTTCATTGACCTGTATGGTACCAAGCCATAACGAAGCTTCATAGTGTTAATACTCAATATTTTCTTTTTGCTAAGCCAAAGTTCTATTAAAAATTGTGTCAAACGCGATGCAGGACTATGTACACGTGGTACTCAACAATTTCAATCTTTTTGTAGCATTTACTCAACCGTATTATACCCCAAAGATACTCGAATGGACGTGTATCTATTGAGATAGTAATCTAATCCAACTTATAAAAAAAACGACGCAGAAGTGCATCTGTTTATATCTCTGTTATCAGTATTTATGTGGCAATAATAATAAAGAAGCCAGTGCGACAAAAACAAGACTTATCTCTACTGCTCTTAATTACCAACTTCTAAGCATCCTAGATCATAAATGTTTCAGAAAAGAAACATCACACAACTATAATACAGATATAGCATCTGCCAAAAGGAGTAAGGAATCAGCAACACAAAATCTGATCCAACCATAAGCAGAGAGTGGGTAAGATGCAAAAAGTGAACAAATAATTATGGTAGGAACAACCAGCTGTAGAAAGCATACACATTTACAGGTGATGATTTCCATGTGTAAATATTTGGGGCTTTCATTGCAGATGGGGACAAGCATTCCACGTCGTGAACCCCTAGTTAACTTCTGAAATTGTTATCGCTACAACCAAATTCACAAAGTTGCTACAGCCAAATTCCACATGAATACATGCATTATCTTTCTTATTGCATAAAACATAGAAATAGATTATCAATACCATTAAAACCTTTCTTTTCACCATAAGTTATCAAGGGGTGTCAGATGTTCTCTTGCAGTCAATTTTTTCTTGGAAATGAAGTTCTTTAACAAATGAAAGCAAGCTGTGGCGCTGTAATATCTTTTACGACTACATTATACTCCAATTTCAGCACATCTAGGGATTTGAGGATGAGTGATAACCGCACAAAGAAAAATGAAATGCCAAATAAGTGGGTTAAACAAGATAAGCCAAGAACCTTTTTTGGTTGCAACCACACACAAACAGATACGTACACGTGTATGACTTCACATGCACATGCATATGACACGTACTTATTCTTGGGTTTTTAAAATACCAGAATTAGAAGAAAATACAAACCACTCTTCCATCTTATAATCATGCTCATAAATTGAAACAAAATAGACCAGAAGAGTTCAGGTTTTTCCCCTCATATTGCTCAAGAAACAAATCCTAACTGTTTTACAGAAAAAAAAAAAAACTTGTATTTTCTCGCTAATTACAGAGGTCGTTTACATTTATTTGACTGACCAATCCCTTTTACGTAGAGATTCTTTCTATGGTAAACAATTTTTCCTCAACACTCTTATCATTGGTCCAGTAAAACTATTCACGAGTTTGCGATAATATTGTGACCCCTATAGCTTTCCTATTACAATAAATAGTAAACACTGACCAGTTGAGCAAAAGATTGCAAATTGGAATCAGTCTTGTTGAAATTTTTTCATACCGACTTGAGATCAATCAGAGGTTTAAGCATAGACGCATTCTATTTCTAGTCAGATTTCAACCAGAGAAAATTTGAGCAAGGGATCAGCCTGAAAAAAATGTTAAAAGATAGACATGCAAATGTACACCAAGCAAATGATGGCAGAAACTATACAGAGGCAATGCACACGATCAAACATCCAACCCTCTCTTATGTCTCGTGTTTCGAACCTCAAAACAAAAAAAGAAAGCACAGTTAATTTGCTTCAAGACAACAATTCTCCCAAGTTTTTTATTGAGTCGGAAATAAACAATCAAAGACATCAGGCGATCGAATTCCTCAAGCCCACGAATTGACAATTGCACAAGCAAAATTCAGCACACACACATTTGATATCACTAAAACAATCCCGACATCTTAAATACCATCAAATTAAATATGAAATGAAAGTTAATGTGAAGAAAAAATCCAATGCCTAAACACTTTCAAGAATGTTCCCAATAAACAAAATTAAAAATTACACCAACCAATCACAAATTTATGCAAAATGCATTTGCTATTAAAGTGGTGACCTTATCGAGTTCCTTCTGGAAATCCTGAAGCTCCTCGAGGGAGACAAGGAGATCCTTGTCAATGTGAATGTTGTCTTCCTCCGCCGACTCCGCCAATTTGTCGGCAGTTTTTGGTTTCTTGGACCGGTCCGCCACCATGTTTCGAAAACCCTAATCCTTGGTTCGTGTTTGGGATCTCTCCCTCAGATAATTTGCAGGATAGGATTGTCTGTTGAGACAAGTTTTGTTTAGGCTCTAGCGCTGTGTATTTGACATTTGTCGTTGTACAGACTTTACAAGTCCTACGTTGTTCCCATCAAACCATGCTTTCTTATACTATGGTCCCAGTGTCTTGAGACTCTCCAGTTAAAATTATTTAAAATTTTTAAATACTATAGACAATGTCAACGTCATTCTTAAATTTCAGATAAATAAAATCAAATTTTGACAGTCAGATTCCAGATAAATTATTTTCATGACATTTTATGAAATAAACAGTAACTATCATCAATGATCGACTGTTAACAAAAGTGATCATGACCTTTCACCGAAAGTATCTCAAGTGTTTGACAATACTATAAGGCCATACCACATCACGATATAAGAATTGAAACAAACAATAACTAAAACAGTAAAGTAAAACTACGAAAAATTAAAGAATGAACACAAGAATTGTTTTGGCTGTAGCCCTGGAGATTCAGTGACCGCTTTCAACATTTACATCCCCCGTTGAGCATCCATAAAAAGGAATATGCTCAGATGCACTAAATCAGCCACAAAAAGGCAACAAAGGTTACAGAGATTTCAAGAAAGAGATATGAAACTTATCTCTCAAAGTACATTAAAATGATCACACAGTATTACAACAGAGGACTTCGACCACAGCCTCTCAATATTCACACAGAATATTACAATCGATGGTAGATCTAACTATTACAATACTCTAAATCAGAGATTTAGAATCTGATTTAGAGTGAAATCAGGCATCAAGAAGCAAACCCTATCTATTTCTCTCTTTTTCTCTCAAAGGTAGAAACCATAGAAGTCTCGAGAGTCAGCCAGAATGAATCATCTCAAGCCAAAATATCTCGAGCCCAAGTATATCAACCGTCCAAGCATCCAACAGTCATGAACAAGCCACGTGTCTTCCATCAGATCCAGGACGCTTCAGTAAAAGAAACGTGATAAGGAAATGCGATTTTACCAAAAATGCTGGGAGCANGCTTCAGTAAAAGAAACGTGATAAGGAAATGCGATTTTACCAAAAATGCTGGGAGCACACAAATGGGCCTGGACCCAGCCCAACAAATACGAAGCTCGAACTTTCAAGAGTTGGCACAAGTCATAAACAAATTCAATCCTATTTTCTTTTTCAAGAAAGGATTTTCGAAAGTTATAGCAAAATCAAGATTCAAACTCGACCATCTAATATCATGGGGATAATCAAAAATATGTTTCTCCTATCCCAACCACCCACTTGAAAATGCATAAACAAAAAGGAAATCGCAAACTTATTTGAAACATGCGTGCTCGAAGATACATATTACAAAGATAAAGAACAAATGCGACTTGACTGAAGATTGAGAGCCTAAAGTTGTGTTGCAACTTGAAATAAGCAGGGAGATGTTCACCATGTCTTCATAGGAAGTCCTTTATCTCAAAAAATATGGAACCACTACTCTCATGTAATTGGGATACAGTTTAATCAATCTGCAATTTGCAATATTCTTATGGAATGGATTCAATTCTCAGGGAACAAGTCAGGCAATATTTATGTCCTTACTAGACTTGCTCAGCTATCGTTATTCATGATATTGATGTGATTCAAGATCGCCGAGAGGTATTTCATTCATTGAATTTACAGGCGAAAGATTTGTCATCAATGAGATTAAATCCCGAGTTATTGTCACCCTTCTCGTCTTACATTCCATTCTAATTATATAAATACTAAATGAATAATGTATCAATTCGAAAATTCATTGATAGTTCATTTTTCCTATATATTAATGATGAAAAAAGTTGAGAGCATAAATGTGATAATAAGTAAAGTTTATAAATCTTTCGTACAATTAAAATGTGATGCACTTATAAAAATTGTAGCGTGAATATATTTAGCATTAATATAATTATAGATTATTATGAGAAACTAATTTTCCAATAAAGAGCTAAATTAATATAAAATCATCATTCTTAAATTCAGATGTAAAGTTTGGAAATGTATAGAGTGAATATAGATATTAATGACAAATTAATTTTTTTATTTATATATACGTTGAAAGACAAATTAAAGAGATGAAATGTAACAGAACATGAAAATTTAGTTTATTTAACACACCAACTTAACAAAGTATACCCTTAATTGCAATATCCATCTCAAGTAATCCTGCACCAAAGAAACAAAAATCAAACATGAAAAATTATGAACTTGATTTCTGATAAATAAAACTGCATTACGCAGTAAAGGAAAAAAATTAAATTACTTGCGGCAGTCTATGGTAGGGGAAATTGGAACGGCAATCTTAACCCCACATTTTCCGGGAAGCTGGCCGGATTTATTAGCCTTAAATTTGGCGCGGGAGGCTGCTGTCTTAATACATTTACAGAAAGTCTGCTTCTCTTGCCGCTTAGATTGATTAATCATTTTACTCAGAATATTTAGTCCATTACATTTACAGCATGCTGCTGGTGGACTACCTCCTTTGCCATGCAGATATTCTAAACATGGACGAAGAGATGAATGAACTTGGTTACAAGCAATTGCTTCGCCTGGGTTTCCCACGAACACTTGAGACATGCCCAACACGAAAATCGAAACACAATTTAAGTTCATGTTTCTTTTTTGAGGGCATATGTTTATCGGACTAGGAACTATATGTCGAATAATTTTGTTCTTATATGGTATACCAGAGCTGAGTCCTTCCAATCCTCTTGTTCTATGGAAAGGTCCTCTCAATACTCTAACATCCGCACTGAATATGGGCAAAAGTGTCTCGCGACGTTCTAAACCCAACTTACGTACTCATTTAATGAACGAACAACACAAACCTTAGAACATACTATAGTTCCACGTTGCGAATTTTCTGTAATTGATTCTATCGATTTCGGTTAGTAGATGGAAAGAATTAATGACTAACAGACACTAACACGTAGGACTTTATAAGAGGAGAATAAGTGCATGCATATCTTATAGACGCGGTCACTATAAGTACTCAAATTTATTTAATTGTTATTTTCTGAAAGTCATTACTTATTTTTTATATCAATGTGTTGACCTAAAAGATCCACCTACACCCTACAAATTATGGTGAAAGAATATAGTGACAAATTTGCAAAGTAACACACATCTAAGTTTGCATTAGGGTTGTCGAGTAATTGAGATATTCTCTAAAAGTTTAAACTCGAGTCGATCGTGTTGTAATTAACTCCAGAGTTAATATGTGATCATATAGATGAAAATGAACGTAACTTTATTGAGATCTCAAGAATTTTATTTTAACTCATTAATCGTCTCATCTTATTTTTTATTGTCATGTATTCAAATTGGATAAACTCTCCATAAGAGGATAATAGAAATTTATCTATAGTAAGTTACTATACCAATGTACAAAATTTATTGTCTCCATCGTTTGATTAACTGGTCATCTTATGAAACGATATATTTTAGATCTGTCATGCTATATTTACATTATGGATTACACCTTTGATTTTTCCCCCACTGTTCCCATCAATGCATGGATTCCCCCCACGTAGGAGGGGATGTCAAGCTAGATGTACACTAGAGTGGCGTACATATAGCTTCTGGTGTACGTCTAATATTATTCATTATAGATCTACCATTATTTTATTACAAAAGAATCTATATGAATCAAATTTCTATACGCTTATTCAATAAATCCGTTCAAGAAAAAAAAAACTATTTAATTAGCAAGCTAAGACAATGTCTTAAGAACATGAGTACTAAGGTAGAATGAAAAATTCCTTAAAAGTTTTAGCTAGAAGCCTTCTTTATTATAGTCTGTTTTTTGTTATTCCAATTTTTTTAAAAATAATTTTTCCTTATTTTTTAAGGATTTCTCCTTATGGATTTTATTGGAATTGAAACTAGGTTTAATACACACTGAAACTACCACATTTTTTACGCATGCTTCTTCTGTACATGCATGTTACCAAGTGCTCATTTGTTAAAATTTTATCAACTTGTCAAATTTTAATTTTAATCGCACGTTTCCTCGGATGGGAACCACAACTTTTATCATTTTTCAATCATATATTTCATCAACCCGAAATTATAATTTCTCAAATAATTAAATATATCTCAATTTATATTTGTTTATACTTTTTGCCTGTACTAATTTTTCATAGCATCATTTTTATTATTATTATTATTAAATATTTAATATATTTTCCTTCATACCTTGAAAATGGTTTGCATAATCGTACTAATTGGATCGAAATTATAAATTTTTTTTTTTTTTATGGACTTTCACTAATTGTTATAAAATCTTAAATGATAATATTTTGTGTTCAACCGATAAAATTTTTAAATGAAATTGGAAAACTTCATGATGTGATGATTGTGGAGAACTTCTACTCAAGCTAGTTGTAACTTGTATCTTTGTATGCCTTAAGAAAATAGTGATTCTAATTGTAAATAAGATTTTTAGACAATTAGAGAACTGACGTTTGTATTGTAGAGTGATTATAGAGTGAAAAAACCGAAAGTATTGTTTTATTCAACATAGGAACTCGACAACTCATAACAACATCACTCGTACGTGACTTTTAGAGTAGTACTAGAAAATGTTACAAGAGTAATCATAAGAGTGAAGTTGGCTATAACCAAAACTCCCTCTCAATTTATTCCAGTTGAAAAGCATCCATCTCACAGAGATATCCTGTATCAAATCAACACAAAACAAACATTAGAAAACACCCAACTTAATGTTACGACAAAAGCAGATTTTAAGCACGAACAAACATTAACTTACTTGCTGCAGTCGACTGTGGGAGAAATTGGGACACCAATCGTAACACCACACTTCGTAGGGAGCTGGGAAGCGGCGTCTTGCTTGAGGTTAGGGTATCGTGAGGCGGCCGTCTTTAAACAGCCGCACGCTGTCTGCCTATCTTGCGTATTTTGAAGAGATTGACTCAGTGACTTAACTCCACTGCAGCATGCTGCAGTTGGAGTTCCTCCTTGACTCAGATATGTCAAACACGGTGAAATTTGAGATTCAACTTGGCCACAAGAAACGGCTTCTCCTGGTTTAGCCATGAACATATGAACGATGGCTACAACCACCAACAAAATCACTGCAAATCCCTTCATTCTTTTCTTTATTTAACTTCTATACTCAAGCTTCTGTACTCAATTTTGGGTTCAAGGGGGGTATTTATAGCTGGGGAGGGGTGATTGTGAACCCAAAATGTCATCACAAGTGGTTGATTCAAAATGTCATTTTGTTACCCTAATTGAGAAAGAGTAATGGGGAGTGAATCATCTGTACAGCCAGTTTTGTTCTTATAAGGCCCTCGTAAATGATACTACTACTTATTTTTAGTTAGCAGATGGATAAAATTTATGACAAAAGGAGTCTAACACGTCACGGCAATAACTGTGTAACCTTAATTTGTACTGTTTCTAGCTACTATCGGTTCGAGGGCTAAATTCATGCCAACTCAAAGGTTATCTTGCTCGAGTCTTTTGGCCAGTTCATCTTGGTTTTGAGTTTGATACGTAAGCACTGCAAGGTAGCAAATTGTATTACACAATTAGGTTGACAATTATTTCGGTGACCGTTCCACAGCAGCTTTATTCCGACGATTGCTCCGATTTCGATAATTTATACAATATGGTCACACCTTCACAATTTAGATAGTCACATTATTTTTCAATCACAAATTCGGTGACCGTTCCGACGACTACCCCGATCTGACAATTTATACATATGGTCACAGATTCATAATTTAGTTAGTCACATATTATTTTTCAGTCACAAATAATAATTTTTATACGTCACAGATTATTTTACGGTCACAGTTCAAAAATTTTGTAGGTCACAATTAATTTGTTGATCACAGATTTCAAAATTAGTGGTCACAGGTCACACAGTCACATATTCCCAAATTAGTTGATCATAGATTTTTTCACGATCATAGATTATATAATTTTTAGGTCACAGATAATAAAATGGTTGGTCACGAATTATATTTTTAATCATAGATTACTGAATTTTAAGGTCACAAAAAATCAAAATCACCAAATCCGCCAGATCCACCACATCTGCACTATCGCCACGACCGCCACAAACATATCACACCAGCTCATCACCAGACTCACCACTACTGCCTGTATACTACCTAAATCCACCGCGCCACCGCCACTGCCACCGCCATCATCGATCGCACAGTCGACACCTCCACCAGCAAAACCAACAATACCCAACCCACAACCTCCAACATAACCAACGTTTCCAACGCCTACACGACCATCGCTAGAAACCACCACAGCCCCTAGGACCACAACCACGGCCAACCCCCCCCCCCCCACCACACCAAACACACCCAACAATGCACCACCCTACAACCTCACCAAAATCACCGTTGATCCGCAATAGCCACCAACACGTCTAACTGCACAACCAACAAAAATACCTAAAACTCCTAAATACCACCACACCAACACCACAACCGCGCCCAACCGCAAAAAAAAAAAAAAAGGATGAAGAAGAATGGTATCAGTCGCCCATCCGCAAAGTCGTCGCCGCACAGTGATGAGTCACCGACATCAATCGGCGCGATGCTGCTGCGAATGGTAGAGTCAACGAACTGCAACATCGCGACGCTACCGCTCACACCAACGTCTGTCGGCGATGGTAGGAAAGTGCCGCCGTTGCTCACAGCGACATCTCTGCTGTATTCTCCAGCGACGACACGAGGAAGGACAACAGAAAAAGAGAGACGAGAGAGAAGAAGGGGGTGGGAAGAGACGATTCTATGGAGATGAATGGGAGAGAGGATTGGAAATTAGGTTTTAATTCGGGTTTTAATTATTAATTTAATTAAAACCTGATTTTTTATTAAATTTCACGATGTCCAAAAAAAGATATCCTCTAAATGTTTGGGCCAAATGGGTTGTCAGGCCCAATATACAAAAGTCGCATTTATCATCCTGCGACTCTATCTTCTCTGTCCCACAATCCCTCATCCTCCTCCTCCTTCTTCTCATCTGTCACACTGTTAAACTCTAGTTCGACTCTGCATTTCTCAAATGTTTCAGCTCAGACCATAACAGGCCCTAACAAGTCCGTCTAAAAATATGATCCAAGCCTAGCCTAAACTCTTTTCAAGATCTATGGACCAGACTAGCCCGTGAACCCACCAATATTGTGGATATCCGGCCGAGTTGGGCCAACCCGTCAATTTTATTCTGCATTAAAAAAAATTAATTAAGCTATTTGCAAATTAGTCTTTGTAAAATACAAATAAGCACGTTAGAAGTAGAGTAATAGTAAAGTAATTTTAATCCGCGTTTGGTTTTGGTAAAAATCATATTTTAATAGATTGTGATAAATATTAATGAAATGTATGGTTGAAAAGTTGTGAATCTCATGAAATTTGTGGTCGAAAATAAATTTAAGAAAAAATGATTTCTGAAAAATGGGGGCCAAGTAAGCTTAATAAATCAAGTGGACGAGGAGAGTCATCAATCATCATAGGGATGTTTAAGCTTAATTACTTTCATTCTTCATGTGAATGGAATTGTGGTTTAATTATTATGTTCACATAAAAATGTCAAAAGTCTTATTGTCTTATTTATTGTACTCTAATCAGGAGCTCAACTTGATCGGGACAAATAAAGAATAAGTAACAAAGGAAAAATAAATAAATTGGTAATTAATTAATTAATTATAATTTCACAATCAACATTTGCTCTTTTATTCCATATCAAACTTTCACATTCAGACAGGGAATTCATTAATAAAATATTAGTTCCCATCTTCTAAGTCATGATCATTGATGAGCATATTTTTGTAAATGATAACCTAAAGATAAGGTTTGAATAGTGGCTTAACATTTACACAATCAAGCTTGGAATTGAGATAGTGAAACTTATTGGAGGAAGGTTGTCGTTCATTATATTTACATCTAAGAATTGATTGCAAAAAGAGATTTTAATTAAACTTTTTTTTCCTAATTATCATAAGTGCTAATGTGCAAGAATTGGGTATGCATGTTGTGCAAGACGACTATATATTTTATGCATGACTTGAATTGAGCAAGACACAAATGAAAGATACGCATGATCTTAAACAGAGATTATTATCACATGATGCATGCTAACGACCCTCGATGCTCTCAATATTGTTAGTGTTGTTAATGTTGAAAAGTGATGTGACACTATTCAATCAACTATAGGGTGACTTGGCTCTGACCTCACGTTTCCACAAAAAGAAATAATCGGTTAGCCTAATCGATCATTGGAAAGTGGGAGTCGAAAACTCTCTGCTGCTTAAGTTGACACGAGGTCAAAATAAGATTTGAATTCGAGTAGAGATTTAATTTGAGGTCGTTTGTTAATCACGTATATATTTTTAGAAGGAGAGAATTAAGTAATCAAAGAATGTCATTGGTTAGAGAAATTGATTCATTTTTGAGCTTGGGAGACACGCTGAGGTTGGCAAGGCCAAGGCCACAAGTGTCAATACTACAGACAAAAAGGTCCCAAACGAGGGCCAAATTTGGGGAGTTTCACTTCATTTGGAGTATTGACTCAAAGAAATTTCCCATTTATTTTATCATTCATTGCTCGCTGCTCATCCAGAAGACATGGTTAGCAAACTCATGGAAACTTCCTGTCAGAATTCCGAGTTCTGAGTAAAGATAACCTGATTATATCTATTAGAGTAATGTTATTCATCATTACTGGTGTTAAGCACTAGCTTAAATGGCAATTACATCACATTAAATAACGGACTCATTTAAATATAAAGTCACATGACTCGTTTAGTTGAAACTATAAAATTAGTCACCTAGATTGATCCTGGTTAAGATTATTGTATTTATTAAGGGCATTCCCAAATCGAAAATTTCAGCCAATAGTACATACATATCAAATAAGTGCCTTAACTTGCACTCTGAATCGTGTGACACTCGTACGTCTTAACAATCAAGTGAATTAACAAATACTATTCACATTCGCATTATGGTAAAATAGTGACATTTTCAGTTATTTTTGCTGCTTATCTGTTAGTACACACACAAAGATAATACACCACAACACAACCAAATGGGGACTTTCTTCAAATAAACAAGTAAATCAATAATAAGTCACAAAATCAAGACAAGAAGTTAACGACGATAATCTCACATAAGAAATAAGTAAAATGTAGCAGTGTGAAAATACGAATTACAAAAGAGCCTCCAAACCAGCAGACAAAAAAAGTTTTGAAGAATCCAAAATATTCATACTGACAGTCCTAAGGATTATGGATTGAAAATATTTTAGTTTTTCAGAAGGATGAATAGTGAATCATTTGTAGAATATTAGATATGATAATGTGAATGGTTAACAAGATACTGTTCAAATAATTATTTAACTAATGCCATGAGAAGTTTGCTTTGTCGTTAGTCTTGGTTGCAAAAAGATACAAGGAGAAGCATCCAATTTAGAAGCATGGGAATGGTGAAAACAAATCCACATACACCACTGAACTTGGTCTCTTTCAGATCACAAATTTGGACTTCATAAAGCCAAATGATTACACCAGATGGAAGTATGTTTCATTACAAGTCCACGGCCTTGACTTAAGTTCTTTGGTTACTGCTTTAAAAGAGAGAGGGCTTTGCTTCAACTTCTCAATATTTTCGAAGCACTAGTGTTACCTAGAAAGAGGAGTAGGGCACACAGAGGAAGAACCCTTCTTAGAAAAAATATATTGGGATTGAACTCTGTGTGTTTTCAAGAAACAGAAATATGGATTATAAGAATGATGTCGATAAGATTGACGATGTTATGTTGCCTGGTTTTCGGTTTCATCCTACTGACGAGGAGCTTGTTGGGTTTTACCTGAAGAGAAAACTTCAGCACCGGACTCTTCCTATTGAGCTGATTAAGCAAGTCGACATATACAAATACGATCCATGGGACCTTCCAAGTAAGACAACCTTCTTTGTCTGCATATTCTGTACAAAGTTCAAGTCGTTTTTAGTGTTTTAAGTCTCCTGAAGTGGTCATTGTATGTGAAAAAACAAATATCTGTCCCGTTCATTTTATTCTCCTGAATTAATAATTATATCATTTCTGAAGCAGAGCTGGCATCGAGTGGGGAGAAGGAGTGGTACTTCTACTGTCCAAGGGATCGTAAATACAGGAACAGTACACGGCCAAACCGTGTTACAGGATCTGGATTTTGGAAAGCCACCGGAACTGACAGGCCTATATACTCATCGAATGGCACCAACTGCATTGGTTTGAAGAAGTCTCTGGTGTTCTACAGGGGCAGGGCTGCAAAAGGAATAAAAACTGACTGGATGATGCACGAATTTCGACTTCCATTGACCCCTGAAAGTGGACCACCTAAGAAACTCTTGGACAAGAATTTTCCTCCAAATGTAAGTCCATTATAATTTCAGGTTTCCTAGTATTCACCTTTTATGCGCTACTATCGTGACATATTTAATTGAAGTATTCTCTATGGAGTACAGGATTCTTGGGCCATTTGTAGGATTTTCAAAAAGACTAATTCAATGGCACAAAGAGCTCTTTCTCACTCTTGGCTAACTTCACTATCTGAAACATCACCAGATTCAAGTACTCAAGGTGTACAATCTTCAAGCATTCAGTTATATAGTAGCAATGAGTTACCACAAGGTTCTTCAGCTAACTTTTCCGATCTCAACTATCCTTCGCATAAACCAACGACTGGTATATCATCTACATTTGCAACCTCAAATGGGGACTTCCTCAGTAACTTCGTGTTCTTATCTCCTGACGAAGAGTCAGGACCAACGAACAAGAGTACACTCGATGTCACTTCCATGATTTTCAACTCTTCAGACTGCATCGACTTTGAAGGACCACAACATCAGTTCAATAGCTTCCCAATCATTTCATCACAAGAGATGGAAGAAAGAATAAGCGTGGAAGATGATGAATGGGGCTTGAGAAGATCGGTTGCGTTTCCATTCAATTTGCCATCAACTGTACCAGATGAACGGAAGTCCAATTTTCCATGGGATACTCCACCATGTCCTAGTGAAATATCCACTACTTATTCTACAGACAAATGTTATACAGTCCCCAGGTGAAGTAATATAAATATTATACATAGCCCCGTTGTAAAGAAGGGGGTGACAGTATATTCTTCTTAGCCTTGTCTCGAGCAAGCAAAGCCTTGTACAAACTATTTTCCATCACTATAACTGTTAAGTTCAAAGGAGCCGAATACTCTGTGCTCAAAATATATTCATTTACTTCTACAATGTGTATTTATTTTTGTCAATGAAAATCCACTCCTTGCATGGTATACTTGTTCTATCATCATGACATGGGTTTACTAAAATCCACAATATTTTATGTAAACCATCATTCATAGACCTGTTCTCTATTCCTCTCAGCTACATGTCCCACTTGGAAAGAGAACTTTTTCGGGTGCTTGCTCAAAGGGGGCTCTACGCCTTGTAATAGAAAAGGGAGTTTCCCATGGATCTAAAACCAAAATCTCATTCGTTGGCCTACATCCCATATTATTGAGAAAAAAAAATTTAACGGAGGGAAATTAACGCGGAAACCTATCACCAAGTATCGGAAGTAATATATCACAAAGGCAAGCAATATATTGACAAACATGCAGTGGAATAAAGACTAGACAAATTTTAGAAAATGAATTTGGGAAGTGGTAAAAATATTCTCAACAAATCAAAATTAAGGAGTCAAAGATCAATTTGTTCAAAATCCACAGCCATTTGGACAGAATTCTTGCTCTTACATTTCATAATCGTCATCATCCAAGACATTTTCTTAAAATAAAATAGTGGAGAACTTTGAATCAATCAGCTCTTGGCAGCTTGCTTTTCTTTAGCCTTCTGAATCTTTAGAACCTTCTTCACGATTTTTTGCTCTTCAACTAAGAAGGCTCGAATTATCCTGGGAAGTATAAGTAGATTAGTTAAACCATCACAAAAGAAACTAAGAATCAGAATTTTTTTCTCATGCTAACACATTAACATACCTCTCCCTAACAGCGCCTCCAGACAGTACACCACCATAGGCACGGTTTACAGTCCTCCGGTTCCTAGATAATCTGGACCTCTTGTATTCAGCAGGTCTCAAATGAGGAATCTGCGAGGGGATCGACAAATTGACAAATTAATGGAAAAGTCTCGATGGGATTCAGTGATGACGAAGGATAAGAACCCACAAACATTTATGATTAGCACTCGTTATAAAACATGAATATAGTTTGATTTAATCATCTCAGAAAATATGGCCAGCAAGAAAAAAAATGGCATCCAGAAATGTAAATGACTTTTTATTGTCTCAAGTTGGTAACTTTGAAATATGAGATAATCTTTCTATTCTACAAGATATAAAGCAAAAACCAAGTACAATTTCTTAATACCTTTGTGCAAATAGTTAAAACCAACATTGGGCTTAAATGTAGGGAATGACGTAAGAAAATCATACAATATTCACAGCAATGCACTTGATGAGAAGCTGGATACTGGTATCACTGTTGACAAATTATACTATGGTTCCTACAAATGTTTTGAGCCTCGAGTAACTGAAAGAGGACCATACAATGACTTTTAGAACTCAAATGAGCGAACATAATAGCGAAAAAAGTATTGTTCAAGAAAATCACATGTACGTACCATAAAAAATTCAAAGCATCACAGTGAAATTTTTACATTGAACAGAAAACCATAAGATTGTAATAATTCATTCACTAAATACCGATACAGGAATGTCCCACCCCTTTCTTTTACAAAATATGCTCAACAAGGCCAGGGCCGAATCAGGTAAAACTTAAGAGGCATTCCATATTCTATGATTAAAAAAGGTAGGACTTAATTTTAAGTTCAAATAGACATCAATACAATTTGAGAATCGCACTCCAGATGGTAATAACAAATCATAAATCCCGTTCCCATTCCAATTCCTAAACTGGATCAGATAGTGTTCCCTTACATTACATCATTGGTTGGAATATGCTCGAGCTAAAAATGCTATTATCAACCTCAAGAATATGTATCAAATCTTACAGTAATCAAATTTCCACATGCAGTATCATTAAAGAAACGATGAAATCAAAAGGGAATCGTGTCCATGCCATTAGAGCAATATTCGCTAATGAACGTTACAGACATTAACAACAATTTCAACAGATATCCAAAATATATATAAAAAATTTAAAATAAAAATATATCAGAAATAACAAAATTAGCATACCCCTTGGATTCTTTTTCCAGTAACAGGGCACTTGGGTCCACTAGCTCGCTTCTTAGTGCTCTGGTACACCAGCTTCCCTCCTGATTTCCCCACACAAGTTAAAGCTCATAATTAGCAAATCAATTACAATCTCCAGATTTTCAATTCACATAATTCAAACATAAACTTAAATATAATTTCATTATAATGTAAATCATCAAAGTAAATACTTGGAGAATCTATATAAAAATCCCAATTGAAATGATACATAAAATTACTAAAAAATGATTACAAGAACGTAAGTACCCGGAGTTTTTACAATCCTGTGTTGATTGGATTTGGTGGCATAGCTATGCCTCTTCCGATACGTGAGTCTCTGCACCATTTTACTCTACTTGTCGTTAAGACTGAAGGAAAAGGATTTTCACAGGCTGAGAGCGGGTAATTTATACGAGAGCATTATCGTCTTTCGAGAGATAAAACCCTAGATCTGACGACTATAGTGGAGTCTCTCTTGACTGACTTTTCCAATTTAAGAAAATGACATTAATTTTTTCTTTTCCAAAGAAAATAATTTGACTTTATTTATCAAAATAATAGTTGTATTTCTTTCTCTATTAATTGGGGATTAATGCTTCAGTTTTTCCAAATAAAAATAAAACTTTTACACCCAAAGAATAAAATAAAAATATTGGCAGGTTTCATAATCGCTGGACGCATAAATATGTGTCGATTGTCGAATTAAATCAAAAATGACATGAGCGAGTGTATAAAAATATAATTTTCGAGTTAATTACAGAAGTACTAACAAATTTCATCAAAGATTGATAGTTTTCTCCATATAAGATATCTCAAGCTAGGATAAGAAATTTACAATTAATATTAACATGGAAAAAGCAAAAACGAGGGTTCCATGTATATTTTCTTACTCGCAAAACTAATCCTAGTTAGCTTGTTACTACACCAGATCAACTGATCTCTGCTTATTCTCGACATAATTAAAACTCTAGATACCAATTTCATATCTACTTGAGCGAAAAAGTAAAGCACTTGATCCAAATCGTCATCCCTATATCGTCGGATTCTCCTCAGTATGCAGTTTTCACTTCTCAAAATGTCTCTGAGCTTTCTTTCTTTCTGCATTAATCAAGAGAAAAATTACAAAAAATGTTTATAATTTAAACCAGATTTATAAATTTAGTGCCAAGGAGCAACCTTTTGAAGTGTTTTTCTAACTTCCATCAAAAGCTCCAGGTCTTCAGGATTCTGAAGCTCAGGTTTTTCCTTTGCACTTGCACTGGTGCAACCCTTATCAGCTCGAACAAATCGCCAAAAAATTCGTATAGATTCTTCTACGATCTCCACCAGCATATCACTCGTGACAATGTATTCGTCTGTGTCTTTACTTCTTGCTTTCTTTTTGTCTTTTAAGCTATCCACTGCCAAGTAGCCAAATTATGCAAATCAGCTTATAGTTATGAGGACGAAAGGATTCATATTGTAAGATTATTCTGGTGGCGAATTTGATAAGAAAATCACCTTTTATGACGGGAACTTGAAGAAGATTTCGATGGACACATCGACTCTTGATGTAGTTTTCAACTCTTGGCCCTTGGAAAGGTTCATCTTCAATAAATCTTTGCATGAGCACTTGACACTGTTGAAATTCACCAGCAACTTCGTTATATCTATTGATTCCACGGGGATCTGAATCCCATAAATCTAAGGCCTTTTCGTACTGCCAATGTAAGAATTCCCAAGAAAGACACATCTGTCCAACATATATGACTTCAAGATCGGCCTGCAATTCTTTGATGAGATTTTTCATTGGGTCAGTGCCACGGCTTCCATGCTTGAATAGCGAAAGATTACACGGAAAAATGGATTTAAGCGTTGGAGCAGACCGTTTATGCCTTGAAACTGATTGAAGAGGATCCTTTAGCTGCATAAAACCTGTGAAATACAACTGCATGAGGATGGTTCAAACGTTGTACATTGATAGACATATTTTCAAAAACTTCAGGGATTCGACAGCATAATGTATCGAACTAGACATCATTGGACAGTATTAAGAGAAACAATGAAATACAAATCCAGTCCCATGTCAACCAGTAGTCGTAGTAAAAATGCTTTTAATGCCTCGTACCAGCAAATGTTCATGTTGTTCCTGTTTCTAAAGAACCCAACTAATTGGTTGCTTTATTCATATCAATGAATGATGGTTTTTAACAAGTGAAAACATGATAATTAATATACAGATAAAAAGAATCAAGTCATCATTATCTAGAAATTTAGTCGAGATAAAGAACGGAAAGCGGTGTTTGGCAGTAGAAAACGAAAGAACCACACATGCTTGTGTCTAAACGAATATGTGGCTAACCTATTGCGTGCATCTTCTGGTAGTTCAAGATATCGAATTTCCGCATCCTTTCTCTGTAGCACTTGTAGAATTTGTTAAGCTCGTCGATGCAATCTTCTAGTTGGAACCTTTCGTCAATTTTCCATGGCTTTAAGTCGTCCATTATCTCAGGAGACTCGGATTCTTCTGAAATGGTGGGCAACCCAGTGGCCCTAACCTTTCTAAGTTCCATTTTCAACTGATCAATCAATTCTCGATGTTCCCACAATGACTCTAATTTGTTTGCATCCTCAGAATTCGATGTTGATGAATCTCTTGACTTCTGATTTTCTGAATCATTAGCGCCATTTTTGTGCACGGATTGCTCCTTAGTTTTCTTGTCTAAATCTACATTAAAATCGTTTTCAGACAGAAAATCCGAGGTTAACGTATCCTCTTCTAATTTCCTAAGCTCTTCCATCACATCACTGTCTTCGTCATCAAATTCATTTGATAATTCCTGATTTTCTTCCAAATCTGACCATTCACCTTCTGAATCTAAATTCTCCTTTTCACCATCAGTATCCATCGAAGCATCAAAACCAAACTCTCCATCTGACAGGAAGCCCTCACTGTACGAATCAACTAAGCTATTCACAACAGAACGGATACGCTCAAAACTTGTAGATTCAGATTCAGAATCAGAATCAGTAACCATGGGATTTTTCTCTGAATGGAACTGGCCTTCATCCAAAAATTCTTGATCGTCTGCAGAATTGTTTTCTTCATTAACCACCCGTTCCTCCTTTTCAGAAAATTCAATTCTCTCGCCAACTGCATTTTCTTTCTCGTCCACGAGAATATCATCTGTTCCATTATCAACTTTCTCCGAGGTTTTTTCTAGCAAACACTCATCAACAGCAATAATTTCTTCTTCATTTTCAGAACAACCCCGACTTCTGTCTTTATGCGTAATTTCTTGCGCTTTAAAATTTGCCTGTTCATCTACGAATGAGCTACTACTACTCCTCCCAGGTATGAACTCGGTACTCGTAAAAGGGACCAATTCTTTCTTGCTTCTGCTAAATTCTTCAAAAGTTGGAAACTTGAAATTTAGAAAACCCTCTGATTTCTCTCCCTCAACCTCATTTTCAAAACCTCTAAATTCAGCAATATCTTTTTCCGATTCAGACTCTGTTTCTACAACAAAATTTATTCCTTTCACATTGGTTTCCCCTGAAATAACCTCTGAATAATCTAGATTACTTTTTAATGAATTCCCATTTTTTCTCAGCCTGTAAGCAAACAAAACTTGGTAAGTAAAATTTATACAAAGATAAATTTCTTTTAAAAAAAATGAATTAAAAATATTGAAACCTGAAGATTACTGTGGAGATGAAATTGAACAGAGCATGTAAAAAAGAAACCAGTTTCTGGCACAGGAACTGAATAACTGAAGAACTCATGTTCAGAAAACTGAAAAGGAGACTAAACATAACGACCTTTTGTTCACATCCATCAATTTTTATCAGCCTAAAAATTCAGTTGGAAGCAAGAAATTTGAAACAGGGTACAGCGTACAGGCAGTTGACAGAATTTATGGCTTCTTTGAACAATTCAAAAGAAGATTGCACTTTACACCTGTAAACAGATCGATTTATGTTAATCTCACTCATAAGAAGTTGAAATCCGACCTATATGGAGATTTTCAAGGGGAGATAGGTACCTGTCATCGACTGGGCCAAAGCTAGTTTACCTCATTGCTTAGAGCCTAGGTAAAACCATCTGCTCTTTTATATAAACCCATGCACAAAAATATTTTTTTTTACACACACACACACACAAGGGGATCAGGATTATCAGCTGAGAGGTCTGTTTGTTCTGTGTATTTGCCAAAGAGAGAGAGGGACGGAAATAGGGAGAGGGTGAGGGTGAATATGAAATGAAATTGAAAGTTTACATTTTTTTTTTTTTTCGAGAGGGCTAATTATGACACTATGATGAAATTTTAAGTCAAATTGAGTTAATTGAGTGTGAGAATTTTGGGGGAGAAAATGGAAGAATGGGTCCACTATCATATGCAAAATTTCCAAACTAATTAATAAATTTACGAACCTCACGCACAAGCTGACAAGCATAGATATATAAATCCAAGATAATGCACTTTTTCTATTACTTTAATGGCCCTATTTCTTTCGTGTGGTCTCGAAATATATCTTTTAACGCGTTAAGAATTTTGCCTAATCCTCATTTTTGTGTGGATGCTCTCATTTATGAAGATGCTTTTAAGTATTCTTTCACTACATGCATAAGTTAGTAGCATCGCGTTATGTTCATGAGCAGATGTAACGTGTGCTGTGCATGATAGCAGCATTTACGGTGGACTTAATAATGATTATCTATGCGAAAGTTATCGGATAAATAAATAATAAATCGTGATAATTTTTTAAAATTCAAACGCGGCATAACGTCAAGATTAAACTAAAAAATAAAATAGAAATTTCGATTTCGTAGATGACCAAACGTAGGTGAGAAAAGAAAAACGTAATTCAAAATAAAGAAGTTTCTCAAGACTTATATGAAAATTCCAAGTCCTATTTTCCTATTCCCATTTAAATTTCAACTCTCGTATTGATTCGAGTTTCCACCAAATATTAGGAAAATTGAACGCGGTACGTACACGGCCGGACGAGGCCAAGCCAAGCCAAGTCAATGTTTTTGGCGGATTAAGATTTTTCTTATATGAAAATCGTGTCCTCGTTCTAGACTTCCAACGTTGTCCAGTCGTGAATCTTGCCAGATTTCTCACGCCGATCAGGACAAAAATAACAACCGCGTGAAATTTACAATAAATATTGTAAAGAGAGTGAAAAGTAGGGAGTTGACGTTCTAGAAATAATGAGTTCCACTAGTTAGTTAGGTCATTTCCATCTTTCTTTTATGTTTTTCATGGAAATAAGAGAAAAAACATTGTTTTTATGACTTTTTATTATTTATTACTTTTATGAAAATATTTTACTTTTTCATATTATCGTATTTTATGTTCGAGAAAAAAATTAATTATTAAATTAGACTATACAGCATTCGAGTTTTAGCTCTGTCACTGTTTCTATTGTTTAGTTTTTTTGCGAAAATAACTTCTCTTCTTAAGGAAAAAAAATTAATTTTGCAATTATTGTGATTGTCTTTGAATTTTCTTTAAATAATTGCTATTAACATATTGAAAAATGCTTGTCTTTTATGCTTGTACAAAAAAAATTGTTAAATCTTTTTTTTTTTTTTGTTGGTAAAATCAATTAGGACTAGCTATTAGTAATTTATATAATTTTAATTGTGATTAATAATTCCGAATGCATTAAAAGTCTTTAAATTTCTCAATATTTGCAACATGGAGTAAAATAAATATAAGAAAATTACAAGAAAAATATTTGTTACAGAAGATTACGATCTATAATCCAATACTTATTATATCATTAACCAAATAACACATTTCTTATTTTAATTGTTCTTTTTATATCATCTTAACTATGAAATATAAGACTATTTGAATTAGGTAAGTAAACAAGCCGAGCCGAAGATTTCGGCTTGAGCATGGCTCAAGTGAAAAATGCTCAAGTTTTTTTTTACCCGAGCCGAGCAGCCAAAAGCTCGGTTCGAAAAATCGAGGTTTGGTTCGAGCTTTAGGCTTTGACCTTATCGAATTGAGCCTTGTTGACTAGTTTTTTATTATTATTAAACTTGTGTAGGCAGTTGCCAGCCTCCTTCATGCAGGTTGCCGAAAGCAAGCCAGTCGCAAGCAATCTCGCCTGTGTCGTGAGCCATTTTGGCCGTCACGCAAGACGGGGACCATGTTGGCATGGGCTCGAGCCATCGTCCGCAAAATATGCTCAACCTCAGCTGTGAACCCAGACGATTCGGACCTTTTACTGGCCGAGCCATGGACCACTCGAGCTAACGAGCCAATTGACATCCCTAATTTGAATCAAAAATTGATAACAGATTGATAGTTTGGGCCTGGAGCCCAATTAGCTTGCATGATTTAACAAAAAAATGTGTTTTAAGCATATGTATCCATGTAGGAAAATTACAGGAAAAATTCATAAGTCGGGGATTATCTTTCACGAAATCAAAAATCAGGCCCCAAAGTTTAAATTTACAAAATTCAGGGTTTTCCATGAATTAATTAATTATATTTTACAATTAATCTATTAAATTAAATATTTAACTGTAATATAATATTAATATAATTGACCCACCCCACTACCCACTACACCCAACCATCACTACCACTGCTCCGGCGATCGTCGACAGTTTTCCGGCCGCGCTTAATTCCGGCGACTATTTTTCGATGGCCTTTGACCGCCGCTTAATTTCGGTAACTACTCATATTCCTAGATCACAGATATAGTTAAAATTTTAATTTTCCGTCACAATTTATCAAATTAATTGGTCACAGATTATTTGAAGGTCACAGATTTTTAATTGGTCACAAATTAAGAAAGTCTGTTGGTCATAGATTATATTTTGAGTTACGGATTAACAAATTTTAAGGTCCCGGGTCACAGTTAAATAGTTAACCACAGAAAACTATATAGTTGGTCACATACACCCAAACACATGTCCTCCAATCTCACTACACCACAAAAACTTGGTCACAAATGATATAGTTGGTCACATACACCCAAACACCCCGTCCCCCAATCTCAAACTACTTGGTCACAGATCACAACCAAAAAATCGCTGCACCACCATCGCGACAACCACACAGCCTCCAACAGCTCGACAACCATCTCTATTTCTATCTATACCACGCCACAACCACCACCAGCTCGACCACCACCTCACCTTTTTCATTTTCAAAAAACCATCACAATGTACAAATCACTAACAACCAGATCTGAGAATGAAGAAAAACCCAAAATCACAACAAATCAAAAACCCAAGATCTGCCAAAATCACAACAAGATCTGCCAAAACCCAAGAAATACAACGCAGCAGCGTTGCCTGTGACGCGCAGCGACGCTGTTGCCTGTGACGCTCAGAGACGCTGCTGACAGGCAACAGCATCGTTGCGATGCATTAGCGACTGCTGCCTGTGACGCCTCCGGCAGCAGCGTCATCGCGACACATCAGCAACGTCGTTGCTACGCAGGGAGGGGGAGGGGCAGCGCTAAGTAAGAGAGGGGAGATAAATGAAATGAATTAGGGTTTGAATTGGGTTTTATAGTTAAAATAAATTTGGTGGGGTAGGTAGCAGGGTGGGTATATAGATTAATTTAATTTAAAATATTATTATTAATATTAATTGTAAAATTAAAACCTTATTTTTTTATTAAATGAAGTCAAAACCTGATTTTTAAAATGGTCAAACTTAATACATGGTTGTATGTAATTGCCACAAAAATTACACAAAATCCTACTATTAAACTTTTCAAATTCAAACATAAGGTATGAAACTATTTTTTTTTTTCAAAAATCATGTGATATATTGAATTTATAATAATTATAAAATTAAATCAATTATATACCTAACCCGTATACTATCCACCCTTCACAATTTCAAATTCAAACTCTAATCCCTCTCTTCTTCCTATCCCTTTCCCTGATCTCCTCTCTCTTTCAACATCATTTTTTTTTTGGATAAAATCAATTAGGATTAGCTATTAGTAATTTATATGATTTTAATTGAGATTAATAATTCCGAATGCATTAAAAGTCTTTAAATTTCTCAATATTTGCAACACGGAATAAAATAAATATATGAAAATTACTAGAAAATAATTGTTACAGAAAATTAAGATATCTAATCCGATGATTATTATATCATTAACCAAATAACACATTTCTTATTTTAATTATTCTTTTTATATCATCTTAACTATGAAATATAAGACTATTTGAATTAGGTAAGTAAACGAGCCGAGTCGATCTGAAGATTTGAGCTTGAGCGTGGCTCAGGTAAAAAATGCTCGAGTTTTTTTGACCCGAACCGAGCCAACCAAAGCTCGATTGAAAAATCGAGGCTTGAACATTATCGAACCGAGCCTTGTCAACTAGTTTTTATTATTATTATTAAACATAGGCAACTATCAGCCTCCTTTAGGCAGGTAGCCTGAACTTGCCTGAAGCAAGCAGGTAGCCAAAAACAAGCCTGTGTTGCTTGCTTGAAGTAGGCACCCGCTTGTGTCACGAGTCATTTTGGCCTCCCACGCAAGATGGGGCCCCTGTCAAGGCCGGTCCTGTGATTTTCGAGACTCGAGGCGAACTATATAAATTAGGCCCCCCAAAATCAGCGTAAATGTTTTCAATATAATTACTACGTGCGCATGTGTAATTGATCCTACAATAACCATTCATATAACCTGACCAGACCACAATTATATAAGTTGAAAAGGATTCTAACATTTTCAATATATTCAATAACAAACTAGGGCAAGCCATCGCTTATAGAATTTCGAAGAAAATTATAGAATCACACCCTTTAGAATTCCACCGTCACATCTCACAAGCTTGTAGTCACATCTAACAGTGCATCATTCCGATAACATATAACAAACTACACACAATAACATGAACATGGAACACTATTAGCTAAACTACACACAGTACAAGAATTATCTCATCATTTCAATAACATACAACAAACTACACACAACAACTTGAAAAAAGATCCAAAATTTGCTCAGATTATAAAGATCCGAACAAGATATACCAAGTTCATAACTTATTATGACAGAACCCTGCAGAAGATGTACCAAGTTCACAACTTGTTCCAAATTTTGTCCACACGAGAAAAAGAGACACTAAACTGAGAGATACCTACGGAATAGAGAAGCCAAACAATTCAATTTTTTAAGGCTTCTAGCGCCAAACACAATTAGACATATTTTCCAACAAGTTTAGATACTAAATTGCAAACAATTAAACTAAAGTTATAGCTTATAGGAAGCTAGAAGAGGAGCTCTATTAAATAATCATAACTAGATGGAACAATTTTCAATGGCATAAAATAGTGAAGGGGAGAAAAATAATACATTATGAAAAACGAAAAATAGAAAAAGTGGGCTTCCTCAAAATAGTTATCCTAAATATTAATAATAAGAATTATTCTACATGTATATTAGGGTCTACACCCTCGTGTACATAATGCTCAAGTGATATTTAATCATTGACTGTGGAAAAATAGGGTGTAAACCCTATGTACATGTAGCAAAACCATAATAATAATTTACTTAGTAATGTTTAATGACATGGTTAGAAAAATGCCAAATTAAATTGCCCATTTTCTAAAGCAAAGTAACAGCAAGTTTTAATATTACATTTGGTCAGTCAAAAAACTTCTTTTTTAACAATAAGTACATACAAAAAAAAAAATTGATAACCACTCACATCAAAGAACAACGCTTTATAAAATGGACCATAAAGAGGCGTCTGCGACGGGAGAAGACAACATATGACAGGCGAGATGCACAAACACGCGTACAAATGAGAGACGAGAGTAGAAGAGAAGAAGAAAGAGCTCTCGCATGATGTCTAATTTTTTTTATTTAAAAAAAAAAAAAATTGGGCCTAGGGAGTGAGGCCCCCTCTAATGTTGGGCCTGAGGCACGGGCCTCACTTGCCTCGGCCCAGAACCTGCCTTGCATGTCGGCGCGGGCTCGAATCATCGTCCAATAAGAGGCTCAACTTGAGCTACGAGCCAGTCAATTCATACCTTTTACGGGTCGGTTCACGGACCGCTCGAGCTAACGAGCCGATTGATATTCCTAATTTGAATCAAAAATTGATAACAGATTAAAAGTTTGGGCCTGGAGCCCAATTAGCTTGAATGATTTAACAGAAAATGGGTTTTAAGCATAGGTATCCATGTATTTGAATTGCTTGGTTCCATCTCCGTTTGAAGCCCAAAGTACTTATATAGGAAGAAACATGGGTTTCATAGTTGAAGCCCATTAATTAAGGCCCAAATAACCCAAGACTTTTTTAGCTGTATTCATCATTCATAAAAGGCAAGTTGGCCTTTTGAATTATGCCTCATTTTTATCCATTCCTTAATACTTATTTGCCTCGCTAAATTTATTATTTTTGTATGAAAATCGTCTGCAAATCGTGACATTGATTACTATTTTTTTCTAAAATGTTGAGTTTAGTACTGAGAATAGCTTTTTTTTCTTATAGTAAATAAATTAATTTAAAATTTTACTTTGAAGAAAACGTTTAGTTCTAAAAAATCAGCATCATTTGTTGGAGGGGAAAAAAAAGAATAATTGGAATAACAAAACAATCTGATTTACTAATAGAACATTTTGTTCATATTAAAATAATTCCAAATGAAATTATGGAATCTTTTCCCTTAATGCTAGGTCACGATCTGTTGTAAGAGAATCATTTTTCCCAATCTTTTTCAATCTAGCATATCTAACATGCGATTATCCGTCATACTCAAGTAGCGTAAAATGACTACTGTTGTCTTTTAAGTTGATTGATATAATTTATTGGCAGAGGCAAATTCAAGAAGGAAGTTTAGTGGGGACGAAACAAAAATACTTTGGAAAAAATCTGAAAACCTAAAAAACCTGGACAAAAAAAACTAAAAAAATTTGAAAAATAATCGGGAAATTTGAAAATTGAGTGGGGGCGGCAGCCCTCACTGGGTCTCATGTAGGTTCGCCCCCTGCTTATTGGTCTATATCGGTGTCATGATGGACCCCAATCAAGCCTTGCTATACTCAAACTTAACACGATTATTCATGATATAATCAGATTCCTTTTACATCATAGCGGACTCTTTATGTTATTTTAACGAAGTGAATTCAATGTTTGTATGCATTACTGTATGAATGAGCATTTAATATTTAAGATAAGATTCCCAATCACCTGTTTCATCAATCAACATCAACTTTCCTCATTAACATAAACATTTCCTTGTACTAATTTCCATAATTAAGAGAATAATTTGTCATGGGGATTATTGATGCACATTATCTCCACAAACAAAAAGAGGGAAATAAAAGCTAGGTTAGAAGCCTAAGATGCTCCATTAATGGTCCCAATATTTATTAATCATGAAAAAGATGGGTCGGGTTGGTAAGAAGCAAAGCGCTTCATCTTTCATTATCTTCATCAAAGCACAATAATCCATGCCTTTACGTCTCCATCAACCCCTCATTAGTGTTTACTAATTTTATTTTTTTTATATCATCTCGTGACTTGCTCGATAAGCTAAATTTAGATTATACTGGATAGTAATAAAAAAGAATTTAAAATATTTATTTAGAGAAACCATAAGTGATACTCACTTATTCATCAATTATTTTTAATTTAAATCGATTATAAATATTTCTTGATAAAAATGTAGTAAATGATCACAAATAAAAAATTCATCGATGATATGCCTAGGATGTTGGGCTGCGTCACAATCCACTCCTAACAAAAAGAAAATTCCTTTTTTCTTAAGAAAAGAAATGAAATTGAAAGACCGTGTCAACCCATGGTAGATTCAGAGCATGTTTGGACGACTTATGAACATCTTCCAATATACGATTTTAAAACTGTAAATCGATCAATTTCTTACTCGATTCTCGATTTCTCCGGTCAAACTAACCTCTAAAGAGACCTATTCTCAAAAGCATTATTCCCGAACTTAATCAGTACCTAGCATGTTCTGTGGATCGACCTTTATGGTATATATGACACAAGTTAGTAATTGGTGATAGCAACTTTGAGTTTGGTAAGAGGTGATAGACGGGCAGTGGAGGGAGCGGGCGGGCGGGCCCCGGGTCACACCATTTTAGACCAAAATATTGGGCAGCATAAGCATAAAAAGCAAAAAGGCATTTATGCAAACATACAAAAAGTCTAGCCACGTCACCAAATTACCAAACCAATTGCCTAATTTATATTCCCCTTTTACGTGGAATATTTCGTCGACAACCAAGTTAGGCCCCTATGGATAATAAACGAATTTTATTAATTATTAAGTGTCCGGTGAAAATTAAAATTAGATTTTTAGTAGATTGTGATAGCAGTTTTTGAAATGTGTGGTTGAAAAGTTGTGGGATCCATGAAAGATGTGGTTAATCTTAATTGTTTGACTTTGACTTGGATTAAAATCAGATTTTAGTCCGGATCAAACAGGGGCTAAATCACTTTCTGAAATTTTAGAAAAAATAAAATTAGGGGAGAGATATTTTACATAATTACAAATAAATTTAAACCTTAATCAAATCAAGATTACACTTTTTTTTTTCAAATGAATTCTACCCTTAAATTGAATTTATAAATAATCCTAGTGGAGAAATCAAGATGTAAAACCATGCAATTAAGATTAGTTTACACTAATTAATTGATAATTAATTCTTTTTTAAAAAAAAGAAATATTATTTTTAATATTAGTGGTGATGTGTGTTTGAAAGTGAAAAGACATCAATATCTTTGTAATGACATAAGTTAAAACTAGTTGTATGCAAATAAACAAACAAAGAGATCAAAAAAGGTTTGTCCACACAGTTTTGGAAGGTTCAATTATCGAATCCATGTTGAACCCCCATAATTAACTTTAGGACTTTAGCTTAATTAGGGCCCATTTGGTTGTCTTTTGAAAAGTTAACAGTTGCTTTTGAAGATGTCTGAACAATTTTCTGAAAGTGTTTTGTCAGGTTTTAACAAGTTTCAAACTTCAAAGTAAATTGACCTAAAATATAAATTCTTCTACAAGAGCCAATCGAACTCCTAATTTAGGAGCGCATAAAAATATTAGGTTTTATAGGAAGGTCTTTCTATACAAATGAAACCAATTAATCCAAACGAAAAAAGTTCCCTCTAATAATTTAGAGAATATTTCTAGATTTGTGTATGTCATCTTTACACAAGAGTTGTGTTAATCGTTTTTCTGTCGTTTCAATGTTATTGAACTTCTAGAAATTACCCTTCAATAATTTAAGGTTGAGTAATATCAAAGTGTGTAGAGATCTAAAATTCAAGTCCTTCGATAGTTGAAGTGACACAATAAATAAAATATAATCTAAATTTAGGCAAATAAACCATTATTGTGGCTAGCTGTATAAATATGCTATTTAGGGTTAGGGTTTTATCGGCACCAAAAATTGCCTAGACTTCCCTCCATCTTCTGCCTCTTTTCTCTTCAACTCCTTGTCTGTAAATTTGAAATTTTGCACTGTAAATTCTTTAAAAGTATCTCCGATCAAAAGAGAGTGAAACAAAAAGATGAAAAAGCGTCAAGTTGTTCTGAAGAGGAATGACTCTTCGAGAAATTCAGTGAATTCATCGTTAACTGTTAGGACTGTGAGATACGCAGAGTGTCAAAAGAATCACGCAGCGAGCGTTGGAGGGTACGCCGTGGACGGCTGCAGGGAATTCATGCCTTCCGGAGGAGAAGGAACTGACGATGCACTCACCTGCGCCGCCTGTGGTTGCCACCGGAACTTCCACCGCAGGGAGGTACAAAATGAAGTAGTATGTGACTGTTCTTCCACAATTAACTCGTAGATTAATTATCAGCATGTTAGTGTTCGTGCTCGTGTCCGTGTTGTTGAGTGAATGAGTGTGTGATCAAATTAAGTTAATTTTCGTACTGTGTTTGATGAACGTCCGCAAGTCCTATGATAATTTTGTTACCTTCAAACGATATGCAGTGTGGTTTTGCATTCTTCAGGAATTAAACTTGCATGAAATTCCTTAATCCAAACGGATTGATCGCCTCTTTACAGTACTATTAATAATTAAATATTGCATTTTCTTTTTTAAATTTTACAATGCAGTATGTCCATATAATTCAAGACAGAATTTAATAACATTTATTATCTAAATTCGAAATATTTTTATTTCTTGTTTTCAGTTAGTTAAGGGTTTGTCTCCTAAGGAAATGACTGGTGAGGAACCCAAGGCATTAAAGAAGACAACAGAAAAAGATGAGGCCTAACTTAATCAATTAGCTTTAATTATGCGTTGACTGTCTTTCTTAAAGTTTGCTAATCACCAGAGTGGTGGCATGATTGGTACTGACAAAACAAAAAGATGCTATAATCTCGTTTACTAGTGTGTTGAGTACTATATGTCCCAAACTTCAAGTAATTTTACGACAAGGGCTAGTCGAATGCTTGTGTGTGTGCGCGTGTGCGTGCGCCTGAACTCCTTCGGGTAATCAAGAAAGAAGAAAGGCAGAACAAACAAGATTGTTGTGCGCCAAAACCATGCTTCATATATTGAGTATGGAGGGAACAACCCTTTCAGTTATATGTTCATTTTGTTCAGGTAAAGGTCAAATCTGAGTCACAATTTCATGTTTTTTGTGCAGCAAGAGTTTATAAATTGTATGTATAAAAGAAAGAGTGGTTTAAAATTAAAGTCTAAAAGAATGGATAAGGTAATGGTTACAAGTGTCTTGTTTACAAGGTAGTAGTACCAATTTAGGGTCCGTTTGGAGGTGCTTCTAAAATTAAAAAGTTATTTTTGAATATGTTTTGATAATTTTCTCGAAGGGTGTGTTTTGTCGGATTAGAAAAGTTTTTAGAGAAATGTGGTGTAAGATAACTTCTTCAAAACTTCATATGTAAGGAGCCGAACATGCCAAATGGGCCCTTAGTTGTGTATTTGACTTCTCCAACTCCATATCAAGTATATTTAAAAATTAAATGGTGGGAACCCAGTACAACGTTTTGTATGATGACTTGGAAAATATCAAATGAAATTATAGAGAAAAAAATAAGTTAAAATTGTGTGTTGTACTGCAAATTCATTGGAGTATATATACCAAACAGGATGTGTGTGTCACATATTGGACAAATTTTTTATATTCCATAAAATTATTTTTTTAAAAGGCAGTAGGGACAATGTTCTAAAGCTTTCCGGGTATAATGCATTTTTGTGACAAAGGAAAGCCCGAGGAGTTAATTCATTGGGCCTGGGCTTTACGAGCTTCGATATACATACAAATTTCCAAGATGGACTATAATGTGAAGTTGGACTTGTGGGCCTTATAAAGTCCTAAATTGGAAAAATTACCTCAAACCCTACATCTAAAGTTTCAATTTCAAAAATCAAATTTTAGTAAGTTTGTTTTCGATAATCTAGTCTACTTGTAGAAAATTCCCCATCTCTCTCTCTCTCCAAACGTAAAATCTCTCTCTCATAACATTTACTAATCAAACTTTACCCACCCCACTGGCTTAACAGCACAAAACGTTCCTACGTTTGACACTTCTTGTGGAAAACGTCCTTACGTTTCATTTTTTTTGCATTTTCGTCCTTATTTCAACGTTTCATTGTGGAAAACATCATTTTCAGAACAAAACGTTCATACATTTGACATTTCTTGTGAAAAACGTCTATACGTTTTATTTTTTTGCATTTCCGTCCTTATTTCAACGTTTTATTGCGGAAAACATCATTTTCACCATTTTTTTAACTTAAAATGACCAATATACCCTTCTATCTAAATAAAACAAAAAGAGAGAGAAGAAAAATAAAGAACAAATTAAAATCCTACTCCTAAACTTTTTTAAAAAGTGCAAATGAGTCCAAATAAATATAATTTTGGGGTATTTTTGTCCCTCTAGCTGCCGTTTAAGGAGCCAAATTCCGGCAAGCTCCGTCCACCTAAACCACCGGAAAATGGTACATGTGGAAAGCCCTTAACCTCATCTTCAATTCCATACTAATATCTCCCTGTAACTCCAAGTATTCCGGCTGACACAAAGTTTCAAAGTTTGCTACCTGAAAATCTGAAAAAACGTCGATTTCGCGCCTTCCAGCCACCATATCGGCCGGAACTCATCACTGACCAACCCCCACCTCTGGACGACCCCATTCATGCAATCAATTGTAACCAAACACCAAGTTTAGATACTGAATTTAACCCATAACTTCTCCCTGTTGCAACGTAGGCGAAACCACCTGCGGAAAAGCCAGTTTTCGACGCTATCTGGACAAACGGAGGTCGTGAACCACATGGGCTATTTTGCCTTCACCTTCCGCACCTAGCCCATCCTTGGGTCTCCCCCAATTTGGCTTCAATCAATCGAAATTTGGATCTGAAATGCTCGCAGGTGCGAAATCGACTTTTTTCAAATTTTCAGGCAGCAAAATTTAAAGCTTTGTATCGGCCGGAATACTTGGAGTTACGAGGAGATATTGGAATGGAATTGAAGAAGAGGTTAAGTGCTTTCCATCGGTACCATTTTCTGGTGGTTTAGGTGGCCGGAGCTTGCCGGAATTTGGCTCCATAAACGGCGACAAGAGGGGCAAAAATTGCCCCAAAATTAGAGAGCAAAATTATATTTATTTGGACTCATTTGTACTTTTTAAAAATGTTCAGAAGTAAGATTTTAATTTGTTCTTTATTTTTCTTCTCTCTTTTTTTGTTTTATTTACACGGAAGGGTATATTGGTCATTTTACGTTAAAATGGTGAAAATGATGTTTTCCGCAATGAAATGTTGGAATAAGGACAAAAATACAAAAAAAGAAACTTATGGACGTTTTCCACAAGAAATGTCAAACTTAGGGATGTTTTGTTCTGAAAAGAATGTTTTTCGCAAGAAATGTTGAAATAAGGACGAAAATGCAAAAAAATGAAACGTAAGGACGTTTTCCACAAGAAGTGTCAAATGCAGGGATGTTTTGTGCTATTAAGCCCACCCGACTCCACTCTATCTTCTGATCAAATTGATAGAAGCCCATGGTAGCAATATATGTGGCATGTGTGGGAATACCGAAGAAGGTGGTTCGCGACCTTGAAGCTCATCTCCGGCGTTGAAAATTGAAAATGTGTGTGTTCAGTTGGGTACGAAAAATAGAATCTAGATTGTATGTGTTGTCTGATGATATAAGATCATGAATAGATGCCTTTTGATGAGTATGGTCGATCGGTGTGGTGGTATATACCGACATGGGCAACGCCGGAGAATGTGGTACTATCGCCAAAAAACAGTCTGCAGCTACTGGTTTTTGTCCTATTTCTGGTGCGTTTGGGATAGCATTAAGTCGAAATGTTGGTCTGGGTCTGTAGAAAAGGTTGAGGTGGTCATGCTAGTAGTAGAGTCTGATCGGGACCGGCCCCGAGAATTAAGAGCCCTAGACGACTAATTATTACGATGCCCTTCAACATAATCATTTTTTCACAAGTGTAGCAAAATTTAAATATTTAAATAATTAATACTTTTATATTAAAAAGAAGACTTTATATAATTCAAAAGATAGAGTAGCAAACTAAAACTTTTCTCACAACCCGAGATATTAGGCTAGCATAAGATTTAATCTTCTCACATTTTGAGATGTAAAATCAGTAATCAAACTACTAAAATCAAGTTTTTCCAACATATTTTTTTCAATAGAAATCATAGCCAATCCATTCAATCGTTCTTGTGACATGGTTGACCGAAGATAAGATTTAATCAACTTCAACTTTGAAAAACTTCTTTCGGCAGAGGCAACTGTAACGGGAATAGTCAATAATACTCTATAAGCAATCCAAGCATTTGCAAAACAACAATTCATTCTCTTAATGTAATCCAACACATCAATTGCTCCAACAATTTCTACAGGTATCGCTTCCCTTAGAACTTTCAACTCTGAAAATAATTCTACCCCATCAATATCAGAAATCATATTATGCTTCAAATAATTTTCAATGTTAATGCAAGAACATTTCAAACTATCATCATCAATGGATTTCAGTCTTTTCAAATCAAATAAAAATCCAAAAATATCATCATATTTTTGAAATTGCTCAAATCTATTCTGAAGTGATGATAGAGCTTGATCTACTATATATATGAAATAATTGATCTTAAAAGATTCTTCAGCTGTTTGTGTCATCTCTTCGTAAGAAGTCTCATCAAACTGTTTCTTTCTATGTATTACCCGTTTCTCACGAAATATTGGTTCAATTTCTAATTTACTCGCAATCTCTTTAGCATCAACCATGGCCGATTCAAACCCAGTTTCTCTATAGCTTTTGAAAAATGAAATGAGCCCTTTTAAATGGTCTATAGCAACATCAATATGCATGTCTTCTGCTTGTTTAAGCACAACACTAGCTGTTTTAAATGGTCTATAGCAACATCAAAATGAACCATGTTTAAGCACAACACTAGCTGTTTTATGAAGTGAGGGAAGATGGAGAAGGGGAAACTCTAGTAATGGGTTGGTCAGTATAAACATCTAATCTCTCATACAAAAGTCATCCCTCGGGACTGAAGGCTGCAACAATTAATTTACAGGATCTAAATCATCCAATAACACTGTTAATTTACAAGATTCAATTATTCAATTTACAGGATCCAATTATTTAATTTACAGGATCCAAATCATCCAAAACACTGAGGGCTGATGCAATTGAGTAATTAATTTACAGGATCCAAATATCCAATTATTCAATTTCTAAATATTGCTACGAATCCTAATATTCTATGATGTTATTCAAGAAAGAGATTATTAGATGAAGCTATTAGCCATATTTAGTAATTCATTACCTTACCTCAACACAACAATATGACCGGCAGAAGCTGCAGAGTGCAAAACATAGGTCTCCTCTGCGCCTTTAACTTCTCCGGTGGAAAATGTTATGAGTGTTTGGTTTCCTCAATCCACGTGTTTAATTCGATAACCCGCTTGGCCATTTTTAAAACTTGACAAATTGAATTCGATTCACAAAAAGACAAAGAGATTGACGAAGAAAAACAAGAGATTGATGGGTAATTCAAATTCAGATTTCCGGCGACTGCGAGATATTAACGGAAAATAGAGAATAGAGAAATCTTTTTCCTGAGTTTGGAGGAGGACGACTCTTGAAAATTGAAGAGTGAAGAAGATTCATTGATTCGATTGGAGTCTCGAGGAAGAGGACTCTTCGCCTGATCGTCTCCTCCTCTTCTTGGGTTTCCTCCTCTTAAAAATAAGTTTTTTTTATAGGTCAGTATGT